CCCTGTATCTCAGGTCCTTTCACACTAAAATTAGCAGGCCAACACAGATTTTTCAAAAATAGGTTGACCCTCTAACAATTGGCATTTGGCCATTGACAAAAAAAGATGAGTGTTACCCCCTGATGGCAAGCCGTGTGGCCTCTGTACTCCCACCACTGCTTGTCTGGTGGTCCCATCACACTGCGTGTGACAGAAATCAGGAAAGTAAACAATGGAGAGGAACATGGAAGGAAGCCAGGTGTACACAGTACTCACCACTGATGCGCCATGTTTATGGACACGTCTGGTGTGGTGTGTTGACATCCATATGTTGCTCTCAATGGTTTCCTGTAAATTAGCGGATTGACCGGGGTGTGATATTACTACTGTATTCCGAATAGAGCCGAGACTTTGAAGGCGATTTTAACCCGGGTCGGTTGCAGAGTGGTTTGAAACGGGTCGACACGAGTCAGAGAACCTTTTCCACTGCCAATAAAAGCCAAATTGTTTGAAGGTTTAAACAGGTTTGTCCGCCTTTGGGAACGGAGTATCAGAAAATTGACAATTAAATACTTCTATTGGTCTATAAATTACTGAGTGACGTAGATAAAAATACATTACAGACTTGTTTGCAGTGGATCAATGTGCCCCACAGCTCTCAGGTCTTCTGGCTCTATTCTACTCCATCAGCCAGAATCAGAACCAAACATAAAAAGCAGCTTTTAATTCTTATGCTTCCATTATCTGGAATAAACTTCCTGGAAAGTTTAAAAGTACCAAAAGCACTACGTTGCTGTAAATCAATGTTAAAGGCTTTTTTGTCTCGATTTGCCTTTAGCTGTCCTATCTAAAAATTACAAGTTAAGTTTGTAGTCCAACTTTCTTTCATTTTACTATTCATTTTTTATAATTTTCATTTTAATTATTCATTATTATTCTCTTTGGGTTTCACTATGATGTTCTGCACTTTGAATTGTCTTACTACTGGAACATTCTATAAATAAATTTGCCTCGTCTCTATGGGTTGATAAATTTCAGCTTCATCTAATCGTGTGCTGTTCTTTTGTTCCATATTTCATGTTTTTCTTATTACTTATTACTTGTGCCGTGTCTTTATTGGTGTAGAGCAACTTTGCCCAGCAAAGCAACCAGACCCACCGAAAGTTGCAGGATGGTGTGGCCTGCCGCTAAGATGTGTCAACAGGACTTGGAAAAACTTGTCCATGCTTTCATCTTCAGTAGACTTGACTACTGTAACGGGGTCTTTACAGGTCTCCCTAAAAAATCAATCAGACAGCTGCAGCTGATTCTGAACGCTGCTGCTCGAGTCCTCACTAAGACCAAGAGACTGGATCACATCACTCCAGTTCTGAAGTCCTTAAAATGGCTTCCTGTGTCTCAAATAATTGATTTCAAAGTTCTTTTGCTAGTTTATAAATCACTAAACGGTTTAGGGCCAAAATACATTTCTGACCGGCTAGTACACTGTGACCCCCCCAGACCTCCAAGGTCATCTGGGAAAGGCCTTCTTTCTGTTCCTAGGGTAAGAAGTAAACAGGGGGAAGCAGCTTTCAGTTACTTTGGTCCTCACATCTGGAATGAACTCCCAGAAACCTGCAGGTCCGCTGCTACTCTCACTTCTTTTAAATCAATGCTGAAGAACTTTCTTTTTGATGTTGCCTTTCTCTAAATGACGTTCATTTCTTTACTGTTTAATCTCTTATACTGCACTGTAATTTTTATTCTTTTTTTATTTTGTTTTATTTTTAACAGTTTCTTCTGCATTTTAATAATCTTTTTAACTGATTTTATGTAAAGCACTTTGAATTGCCCTGCTGCTGAAATGTGCTATACAAATAAAGCTGCCTTGCCTTGCCTTGCCTAAGAATGGTGTGCTTCAGGGCTCATGCATTACACAAGCAGTTGGTACACAGAAACGTAATTTAAAACACATTCCATGATTATAAATGAATGAGAAAGTTTTAAAATCTGTTTTAATTTCAAAGCAGCACCTGTTTAAAGGTTTATGGAGTTAACCCAAGCAGCAGAGGTTTGTATATTTATATCTCCACCAAAGTTTTGCTTCATGCATGGTGGCTTTTTGCAGGGAAATTAAAAGGGAAGAAGGAAACTTTTACATTTGGTTACAACCTGGACTATAATCTGAAGAAGGAACTGATAATCCATCAGAATGAGAGTTTTTAAAGTATGTCACATTGCTTTGTTGGGGTTCGTATAAATATACAAAGTTTTTGAGTCTGCATTAGCTAAGCGCTAAAGTGTTAAATTAGTGTGCAAAGTCAAAGTGTCCTGTGGATAAGAAGCTGCTCAGACAGGTCACACTGGAAAAAATCTAAATCTAGATAAGTAATTTTGTTCTTAAAATAAGTGCAATTGTTCTTGAATTAAGGACGTAAAAGAGACATTTTAACAATGGAAGAAGACAATTTACCCTTAAAACAAGAAAACACAATTGCATAGACTTATTTCAAGTGCATAATACCTAATTATCATATTTTAAGAGTAAAAATACTCATTCCATTGGCAAACTACCTCATTTACCTTCTCAAATGAAGGATAAATACACCTAATTTAAGAAATTTTTACTTATTTCTAGATCATTTTTCCAGCTGAATTAACTCTTTGTCTGCCTTAGAGGAGGAAAACAAACTTGTAAGTGAAGTGTCAGCAGACTTATTAGATGGGGAATAAACAAAAACGTATTCACTTGTCAAATTTGGTCCTGATGAAATCGTCATCTTCTCTTCTCTCTCCGTATCTCTGCCTTCTTCTCTTTATGAACTCTGGTCCAAAACACCCTGAGTATCTTCAGCACATTGCATCTACCTCAGTGCCCTGAATTATCGACCCGTTTCTCCAGAAATGGCAACACATATTTCAGTTTCTCACAGCAGTGAGGGGATGCTGGCTCCTAGAGTGTTTTTTCCTTTTATTTTATTTATTTTTTTGACGTGGAAATGTGAAACCCGTTTCTGTCCTCGCTTTTTGTGCCCGTGAGCCGGGGATTACCGAGCTGTCAGATTACGGCTCTCCGGACGGCTGCGTGTATTTTTGGGGATGGATTTAAAGGTCAGACTTGTGCAAAACAGTTTTCCTGTGTTATTTTTAACCCCGGTGATACACTGCATCAGCCCATTTCTAATTCATGACCACGGGGGCATCACTGAGCTAATACTGGTATGATCAAGGCGCGGCTTGGGAATGCTGTAACAGCACTGAGGCTCATTTATGTGGTATATCTGCTTATTTGTAATGCAGAAGCATTATAGGTCTTATGCTATGGCAGGCTTAATCCTCTCGTTTGCATTCAATCTCCCTGCTGATTTGGCAGATCTGCCATGCTCATACACAAATCAGTAAAGCTTTCATGGATGTATTAAATGTTTCTGAGCTCTATAGTCAAGTTATATAACCATCAGAACCATTCAAGTCCTTACATTTAAAAAGTAAAGAGATTCATCATTTATTATAACAGAGCATGAAGACATAAGCAGTTTTTAAGATACTAATGCTGAATCGACTGCAGCCCTCTTCATGAATAAATGCAGGGCTGTTCTGTCTTGTAAACTTCTGCATTTGGTTCTAGCAGCATCGACGTAAGCCAACCTTTCATCCTGCAGTTTTGATATTCCACCCTCTAGCCTGAAAATGATCTTTGCTGCCCAGTCTGTATAAAATATTTAGCAATGCGTATGCAAAGAGGATTAGGGCCAGTGGAAAAAAAAAAGTTAACTGATTTTTAAATTTTATTTCAGTGTAGTATAGTATTCAGTGTTTTTCTCAGAATTCGGACTTTAATCTCAGAATTCTGACTTTATTCTCATACTAAACTGAAATAAAATTTAAAGATCAGTTAACTTTTTTTTTTTTCCACTGGCCCTAATCCTCTTTGCATACGCATTGCTAAATATTTTATACAGACTGGGCAGAAAAGATCATTTCCGGCTAGAGGGGGGGATTTCAAAACTGCAGGATGAAAGGTTGGCTTACATCGATGCTGCTAGAACCAAATGCAGAAGTTTACAAGACAGAACAGCCCTGCATTTATTCATGAAGAGGGCTGCAG